ATATATAATACGTATATTCATATATTATTCTACAGGAAATACAATATTTATTATTACACAAATTTATTGTAAACTTACTGTTGCTTTCGACGAAATTAATCTTGACCTTTATCCAGATAAAAATTTCACCGTTATCTATTCTGCTATTTCACTGCTATCTATGTACACCATATTTGCTCATTTACATTAGCCACACATTTCAATACCTCCGATAACAGTAAATAAGAAAATGGTACACGTATACACAATACGTATAAAGAACATACGAAGCCTTCAGTACCGATCGAACAAACTAATCCTCTATAAGTTACAATTCAATCGAGCCATAATTAGAATATCATCGATACCAATTGCATTTACAATCGCGTTTAACAAGCGACGTCATTTGTTCAAATTTGTTGCGAACCGCGAATGCGGTAGCTTCATCGAGGTGATGTCTGTATCTACCCGTTTAATCAAAGACCAAATCGATTTGTTTGAATTCCAAGTGCTCAGCGGGGGAGAGTTCGGCAGCGACCACGGGAACGGGAACAACACGAATTGGAACAAAATCAAGCTCTGCGGGGCCGACTTCTGCGTCCTTGGTAACGGAGGCCACGAGACCCTGGAGCGTCCTCCGGAGTCGGAGATCTACGAAATTTCTGCGATCTATCTAACTTGTGTAATCGTCGCCGTGATCATCGTCGCTTTGTTCGTCGATCCTCTCTCGAGGTGAGTACCACGCAACGTGGATGCACGCGCGCGATTGGTCGAAATGGCACCACGCAGCTTTCCACTCTCTGTCGACCTTTAATTTTTCACCAGCCGTGGCGGCCGGTGATTAATACTGGATACAAATGTCGGCTGCCACTCGTAATAACCGTATTTATTGCATTATTCGAATATTCTACCCTTAGAAGCAAGAAAATTCCACGAACGATGATGATAGCGTTGAAAAATTGCACTCGCGTTATTTATCGTTGATAATTCAAACTCGGATGACTCGAGCGGAATAGGTAGCAGCTCGTTATGCGTACGCGCGTTTCTTTCCATGGGAATCGCCAGGATTATGGATTTATTGGATAGCTGAATGGATTATGTGGAAATTTCGCTTTGAAAAATCGTTTGCTAATTACGCGCAATTGATAACCCAAGGCCTAATGATCGCCAGGATCGATGATACGCGTTTCGTTCCACTGTTTGAACAGTCGATAATTGCCGATTTATCGAACGCTTTGTAATTTCTTCTAAGGACATTGAGCAATTGTTTTCCAGCTATTGCGACATCACGTGTCTGATACATTCACGAATTATCCGCGTGTGCAAGTACCTCGCTGCTTTCAGAGATTGCTATAATTAACAATTCCGTTGTGTAATTTTAATCGCTGATTTTATGCACAAAGTGGCAAAGAGTCGCTTTTTTACGCCTTTGTAACGTCGATCGAACGTCGAGGGGAGGAGGAACGTGGAATTTATTCCGTATTTAAATTAGGAGTTCGATGGGATTTGCAATCCTGACAATGATGTCGGCTTTGAACAACGACGTACGCGTGTGCAAGAGTTTCGAGAAGCTAAGTCTCGGGATAAATTATACGTCGCGGCTTATGATACCCTGCGTCGAAGGATTTCATCAAGCATGCGTATCCGTGGCGAACTTGAAAGCCGAACAGCGCGAAGATACAATCGCATTTGAGAAAACTGGCATACGGAATGGTTTTTGTTTTAATGTCAATATTTAATATCGATGAATCATTCGTTGAAGAGGCTACGCGAGGAGTCTGTTTATCATTTAACGCGGACTAACCTTCCGTTTATTATTGAGAAAACACTCGAAGCTTCTGGAAGTCTAGCACACCTTGGGTATTATTTAAAGTTAAACAAATATCGACTCGTCTCCGGGGAGAGACGATTACCGAAACAACCGGTGAAACTCTGTATTTTTCCGTTTCCGTCATTAAAAGCCGTCATCCGTACTTTCAACTTAACCAGCACCATCATCAGCATCCTCCTTTTCCTCTGTACCACTTCGTGGCCTTCGAATATGAGACGGGACACCAAGGAAACGTTGGAAAAGTCATTTCATTCAATTAACGCGCGTGTATTATTTATCTCATTTTGTTTTCCCGGTTTCCTCTGTGCCATTTCGTGGCCTTCGAACGAGAGACAAAGGAAACGACGCAGAAATTATTTTATCCAATTAACTCGAGTGTTTTATTTATTTCATTTCGCCGCATGCCTATAGAGAGTTCACGCGCAGTCTAAAGATATACCTGCAAATTGAAAAGTGCAATTATCGAACGAGGGAACGAAGATGAGAAATAATTTAGCGATGTACACAGCGATACTCGAGTACACGTGTGTGCACGATCGATAGGAATTCGGTTTTCCGTTTACATTTCCAAAATTAAACACGCGTTACGCCACACACGTGTGTCGTGTTAGTAAATTATGAGATAAGAGCGATTTTTGACATGTTTGTTTATCGAGAAATTAGCCAATTCCGAAGCGCGGTATAGTGACTTCTGGTGCTAAAAAATATATCCAATTTCGTTCAACTCGGTTTTTGTTTACCCGCTTCTAGTTATCCTATTTAGTACGCGAACTTTAAGTGGCTCTAACTCGAAGTGCCATTCATGTCCCAGCGATGATTAATTCGGCTAAAAGGAAAAGGAAATTTCGACAATCTCTATGTAATCTACGAACGCTATTGAACCCTGGTTATTTAACGAAAAAATTGTCACAGTTCGTGACTCATTACGACGACGATTGTTTGCCTTTCGGATAAGCATAATGAGTAGCGTAAACAGCGAGGGAACAAATGGTAACGATAAAGTCGATCATGCACGATGAATGACGTAGGAGGAACATTAACGTAAACGATGTAATTATCCGAAAACAGATTTTTATCAGTTTACCCCTGAGAGTGATATCTTTATCCTGCCCCGTCCGCCATATTGTGGACACAAGGCGAAATTTATTTTCCCTCCGTTAACTTTTCATATTTGTTCGCGATTGAATCACGGTTCAAGCGTATGCAAACGATACGATCGGCTGCAGTAAATCTTGCCCGCGGTTTTTCTCTATTTTCTCGTCTATGCACACGTGTACTTTCGCGTCGCATTTTCTTCTTTCCTTCTCAACGTCAGCACACAGACCTTCCCACGTAAATTCAACAACGTCATATGCATTCGATCAATACCGACATTGAGCTGTAATTATTAATTTATGTCCAGCCTTGAATGAAATTAAGCGTTCCATTTCGTTCGTTCAACGTACTACGATCTGAATGGGCGACAGTATCTGCAGAGCCTCTTTGTTCCTGCACATTGACGTAAATCATCGTTTTTCTCTACACCTAATTTTGTTTCCTGCGTCACGATCTATACGTCACGTCTTAATTACGAATTCCAAACCGAGTCAAAAGAAGCCAAAACACGGGCTTCCTGCTTATCCCTGTACCCACACAAAAGATCCCCAGATTTATTTTTCGCGAATTCATAATGGCATTTGTTTCAATTCTAAATTCCAAACTTAGGTAAAACACACAAAAATTTCGAATTATTTTAACATTAGAAATACCAACCCAGTCAAAATGGTCCCAGAATTTTCCTTTTTGCAATCACCGAACACATACACCTGCTTTAAGAATAAAATTGATATCAACTCGTATTAAGAAATAACTGTAATCGATATATTCACTCATATTCATCGTACCGTTGAAATTACTATAATCTGTGCAGTTATAGTTAGGTACCCATTAAAGATTGGTAGTTCTATTGTTAATACGTTCTAATTAACACGTTCCGTATCCATAAATGGTACACGCAGACATATTTTTTAATGTGCTGAAAATATGTTTTATGGCAAATTTAATTCCATAAAATCAAAATACCAATTTTTAGCCAAAACGGCCTGGAGATCATGTCAGGCAAAAATAGCTTAACTCGGAACGTGTTAATACAGTAGTAATATACAGTGACGAATTAAGTATGCTAAATTATATATAATAATATTAAGATAGTGTCATAAAATATCACGTAAAATTATTTAAATCCATTTTCTAACCAATTTTGTATATCACGACGTCAATCTCGTGACTTCCAAACTAAACCAAAATTATTATCTTCTTACCTATCGGTGAACTTACCCCATAGCATTTAGCAAGATGGTCATTCCTATATAGTCTCGTGGTTATTTACGTCTTCCGCTCGATTTCCATAAGAATATTTTTAGAAAACATTTTTCCGAGCACAGAAAGTGTGGAGCTACCTTTATCAGATATCCGCACCTACTAATTACGCATAACGGGGGTTCGTGAATCATCCTGATCGTGTAACACCAGCGATAAGCCCCGATGTCCAAACGAAATTCACTTTGTCTATCGTAATGCAAGTATTATGGAAATTCGGACAGATAAGACGCGGTATATCGAGCGTTCCGTATTTTCGCTCATTAGGGTGAAACAAATTACCGTGTTACGTAAACGTGGCTCGTTTGGCCACTGTCTTTCACGGTGAACTTTTCAAGCGGCAGGGGAACCGCGAATACCTAGCCTACCTAGGGAGTGTGATTGTCAAGAAAGTCGCTGAGAAAACGAAACGTCACGAATTGGTTTCTAAAACCAGGATGTAGGTTAACGAAGCTGCTACGCTAGAAATCAATGTCAAAACCGTTTCGCTTGTTCGGATCCCCGTGGACGAGGGGGGAAAAGGAAGGACAAAGAGCGACAGTGACTGCGGGAGGGAAAAAAAGTAGCAGGCACTAGCTGATTAAATGTAAAATCGATCTTCCATGGCGGTCGGTGTGACAATGGCGACCGGTTAGTGACAGAGGAGGATCGAAAGTCAGGAATATTCGCGTTTCGAAGAAATCAATTTGCACGGAGCCGAATGGCCGCGAACATTATCGGCGTGGCAGGAGGAAAGAAAAAAGATCGTGTTTCGATCGACCGGATGATGGAAGCACGATGATGCGGCCGGGTACTCCCCTGGAAGCTTGCCTACGGCCAAATAAATTATACATATCCTTTGAACGGGCAGGTGTCAACGAAAAAGTGCTTCATCGCTTCGAGATACACGCCTCTTCGTTAAAACTTCGTTTTATTTTATCGACGGGAATCTTCAATTTTTGTCTCTTTTTTTCTACCATCAAATCGCCAAGTTTCAGTTCGTACACATAACACGCACCGGGGACAGTTCGTTTCGTACCCAACGAAATCCTACGTCGATCTAATTGGCTGAATATAATTACGAGTAATTATTTTCGGGGAATTTCTTCCTCGTTTTCATTGGAATGATTAATAGCGTGAGGTGGGATTGAATATTTTTTCCCGTTGGAATCCTGAATTGATCGAAAATTATTTTTCTTTTTCTTCTTTTTTTTTTCGGTGGTTGATTGTATCGATGGAAAATAATTTTTTCCCGTAACACGATTCTCTCGATGGAAAATAATTTTTTTCAACAACGCGATTGCGTCAATTAAAGATTATTTATTTCCATGACACGAGTCTATCGATTAGGAATCACTCTTCTCCAGAGTGCGATTATGTCGATCGAAAATTGTTGGTTTGCGCGTCACGATTTTCCTATTTTTCCGTTCTTCGGGAGAATTATCACGATCCATGGAAAATTACTCTTCCCTCCGTGACGCGATATTTCGTTCGATCGGGAATTGTTTTGCTTGTTCCATAGGTCGATTTTGTCGTGCTCGATCGGGCGCGATTGTATTTATCA